CTCTTTCATTCATGATTTTGTTGATTTGGGTCATTTCTCTTTTCTTTTTGATAAGTCTGGCCAGGGGTCTATCAATCTTGTTAATTCTTTCAAAGAACCATCTCCTAGTTTCATTGATCTGTTCTACTGTTCTTTTGGTTTCTATTTCATTGATTTCTGCTCTGATCTTTATTATTTCTTTTCTCCTGTTGGGTTTAGGCTTTATTTGCTCTTCTTTCTCCAGCTCCTTGCATACAGCAATTTTATTTTATTTTTTATTTTTTAGAGAGGGGGGCAGTGAGAGGCAGAGGGAGAGGGAGAGAATCAAGCAGGCTCCATACTCAGCGCAGAGCCCAGTGCAGGGCTCAATCTCATGACCCTGAGATCATGACCTGAGCCGAAATTGAGTCGGATGCACTTAACTGACTGAGCCACCCAGGCACCCCAGAATATAGCAATCAAGCATGAGATTTTTTAACACACCTCTTTCAGTAATTGACCAAATGAGCAAAGCAAATTTTGAACACATGATTACTAGATTTGACCTAACAAATATGTATAGGAAAATGCACACAATAACTAAGAGCACACATTTTTTTAGGCACAGGCAAAAAAACCACTTATACATATGTACCTTTTGCTGACCTTAAAATAAGTCCCATCCAGTTTCAAATGTTTGAAGATGTATAGAGCATATTCTCTGACCACAGTGAAATTTTGTTAAAAATCAATAAGAGTAGGATAACTAGGAAGTCCTATCTATTTAAAATGGAAGAAATACATTGCTATTCCACATAACTGTGGGACTAGCTAAAACAGTAAGGCAGTCATTCAATCAAGAGGAAAGAAAAGAAAAGAATAAAACACTATCATGATGATTATGGTGAGAAAAAAAAAAGCTACAGGCTGTATTAATAAGAGTTTTGCAGTGTTGCTAGATACAAACTCAACAAAGAAAAATTAATTGTATTTCTATATACCATCAAAAGCAGAAAATGAATTTAAAGATACCATTTACAATAAAATGAGAAACAAAACAATAATTACCTAGAAATAAATCTAACAAAAGAGGGTGAAACTTCTTTCATATTTCGTATAAAATTGGAGAGACCTTGGAGAAGACCCAAACAAATGGAGCGATAAGCCATGTTTCTGGATTGAAAAACTCAATGTGCTAAATATGGTATGCTTCCCAGATAGAAAGCCTCTCAGTAAAAAAAAAAAAAAAAAAAATCCCAACAGGGTTCTTTTTTGTTTTTGTTTTTTTGGTGAAATTCACGGACTCATTCTAAAACTTAGATGGAAATGCAAAGCACAAAGAATAATCAAGGGAATTATTGAAGAAGGACAAAGCAGGCAAAATTCTTTAAGATATCAAGGCTTATTCCTGGGCGCCTGGGTGGCTCAGTCAGTTAAGCATCTGCCTTTGGCTCAGGTCATGATCTCGGGGTCCTGGGATTCCTGCTCACTGGGGAGTCTGCTCCTCCCTCTGCCCCTCCCCATGCTCCTGATTTTTCTCTTGCACTGCGTGCTCTCTCTCTCTCAAATAAATAAATAAATTTTTTTTTAAAGTCTTATTTTAAAGCAACAGTAATTTGGCTTGGCATAGGCACGTGTAGAGTAGATGGAATGAAATAGAATAGAAACATAGAATCAGGTCCACACATACATGAACACTGGACAAAGCCAATAGTGGGAGAAGGAAAGTCACTTAATAGTACTGGGGAAAAGTGCATATTCGTTTGGAAAAGAAAATGAAATTTTGTCTATGAAAATATTTATAAAACATGACATAAAGCAAAAGCCACAAAGACAGACTGATAAACTTGCATATGCTAAAATTAAGACAATCTTTTCATCAAGAGGCCACTAAGAAAGCAAAAAGGAAAAATGTATCAGAGTATAAGAAGGAAAGAAATTATTTGCAACATATATAAGGAATAAAACTCAAGTCCAATGTCAGTTAAAAAAAAAAAAAAAGGACTACTCAAAAGAAAAGCAGCACTATGCAAAAGAAGAAAAGCAAATTGTGAATAACAGATGAAAAGGTGCTCAACTTCATCAATAATCCAGTACAAATTAAAATAACCATGAGATAGAGCATGAACTCACCGGACATGCAAAAGCTAGAACTTTTACATGTCAAGTAAAAGTAAGTACCATACTTCAGAATATAACTTTGGTTTATTTAGAAAGGTTAAAAATATGCACAACAGGCCTATATTCCTAGAGATACTCATACATGGGTGCACTGCATTGTATATACAAAATTAATCAGGGCAGCAGCATTATTCATAATATTAAAATATTGGAGACACCTAAGTATCCGTCAACAATAGAATGGATAAATAATACACAACAATAAAGATGAACTAGAATCACATGCAAAAGCTTGGATGGAGCTTAAGCATAATATTGAGAAAAAAAAGTAAGATGCCAAGAAAAAAAAGCTTGAATTTATTTATAGTAAAGTTCAAAAAGAGGTAAAACTAAACTATTTTAGGGATGCATATATGTCAGTAAAATTATAAATAAAATCAAGAAAGTGATAAAGTCAGGATGGCAATTGCCTCTATGAAGGAGGGGTGGTAGGCAAGGGCCACATATAGATTTCTGGGGTTCTGGCAATGTTCTTTTTCTGGACCTGAGTGATGGCTACTTTACAATAAGTTATTGTACTACCGTATACTGTTTTGCGTACTTTACTTTTTTGTGTTACGCCCCGTGATTTAAAAAAAAGAACGAGAGAGCGCTCTATCTATTGGCATGGAAGAATTCTCGAGCTATATGTTGTGAAAAAATAGGGTGTGGGGAAGTGTAAAAGTGTATAAAATTTACTACTATTTATGGATGGGAATGGAGGGGCAGGGGCCTTTAGGGGAACAGGGTGACCCAGACACCAAAACAGTGGTTGTCTCCGGGCAGGAGAAATAGGTGCCCAAGGGACAGGGTCAGAAGGCTTAGTCACTGTAAGACCCTCTTGTTGTGTCTTTTGAATTTCATACCATGTGAATGTATTACGTACCTATTCAAAATAAATAAATAAAAATGCCTAACAGCAAAAAAGTTTTCTAGCAACTCTAACCATCCTTATCCACAAGGGGCCGCTATTCAATGATGTTTAACTAGTTCCTCACCAGGGAGAAACCTGTATGATCCCTGCTCTCACTAGTGAAGAAGTGTCATCATTTATGTTCTTACTTTATTTTACACATCATGTTCCGGGGGGGGGTTGGGGAACAACCCTCAATTCACAAATATGCGCCAAAAATTAATATGCATGTAAAATGGGATGAAAGAAGACAAAGACGTAGAGAGATAATAGGAATTCAGGGATGAGTTTAGAAGAAGCACAGGATTAAGGACCTCCCCTGGAGTCAATGCACAAATTCGATTCTAAGGTTTCTAGCATCTGATGCCAAAAAAGGGAAGTGTGGTTAGTGACAAATTCAAAATCTTGCTCGGGAGAGTATTAGTACTAGGAAAAAAAAATTTCCCTGGCGGTCTGTTAAAGTTAATCCGAGAGGACCCTTGAGGTGTGCTTCCTGACTGGTCTTAATAACAAGAATAATCCACCCATCAGTTGTGACACCAAGCGACCTCACTCTCCAAGGGAAGCGAAAGATGCTTTGGGACTTCAGATGAGTGAAGTTTCATTCATGGTTAATCATGAATGAAAAAGAAAGTAAGAATACATGCTGCAGAAGAAGAAAAACCAAGAGAGCGTGCTTTTAAAAAATTCCCTGTCTTACACAAGACAGAGAACGGGTGTCTTCACTCGGCTGGATTTTTCAACATTTGGTTATTGCAATGAATTCTCTTTTTTCTTGAAGTTGAGCTGATTGTGCTTCGGGCCACTAAGGAGTTAAATGCTGTGCTCTAAGTTCAAGGGGAATTAGCCCGACTCAAACAAGCACCCTGGGCAGTATAAAGGCTGGGGAAATCAGCAGCAGGGGGACAGTTTCCTTTGTGACCGGAGCTGCACACTTATATAAAAGCACTTTGGCAGTTATGGAGTCATCTGACATTCGAAGGAAAAAAATAGCTGTCATTGGTGGTGGCTTGGTAAGACTCTATTTGGATATCCTATTCTTGTTAGTGGTGTTATATTATCATTAGTCTGAATAATTATTATAAATTGCTTACATAGATTGTTCATCTTGTGAAACTTCTCTGATATTTAAACACGCCTATTTTAAATATGGGATGAGTGGTAATTTGCTCTTTTTGACAAAAGGTATTTTTTATCTCCATTAAATACAAAGGTGTCTGTTTTCCCTGGTCATTTTGGTTTAGCATTTCTTAAAAAAACAGAGCAAATTGAATTTGATTCATCCCCATGTTGGCTATGTTTTTAAAACAGCTATCACCGTCAATAGTCATTTAGTCCAAACATTTGCCTCATTTGGTGAATAACTCAGTTTATACTAATAAGAAGAATAAAAGCTAATGCAAAATTGTTATGTTGGATGTTCGCTAGTGGGAATAGCACCTGTTTGGTCTCCTGACTTATTTGGCTGGTCCCATGGAGCATGTAAGGTGGTGGAGTGAGGGGCTCCCCTGTCGCTGGGCATAGGAGATGAATCTACAGAGCCTTGCCCCACACCTAGAAGATGTGGGAGGGGTCTCTCCTCCGCTGCCATTGTTATCTTACCAAAGCTGGTCTGTTTCATGTGGGGCTGCCTCAAGTAGACTGTATTTCCCCCCCTCAATAGAACTCCTATTTTGGAATATAAGTATCACCATTGGTAAAAGCTTAATCATTTTGTTTTCACCTTTGCTGTACTCATTTGTAGGCTTTTAGCTCATAGGTATTCATTCATTCATTCATTTACTCAACAAAAATTTCTTAAGAGCCTAATATGTGCCAGACACTGTTCAAGGCTGTATAGAGATTAGTATAGTTTATACCACACATTTATTTATCAAGTATATGCCAATTTTGTCTTTTGTTCTGCCTTCCTTATGATCTTTTCACCCAAAGTACTATGACAAGTTCCTCTAACATTTCTGGTTCTAGATTTCAGTATGCTAACGAATGCTGTCACATGCCATGTTGGTCAATGCATGTGACATATGTTGTCATTTCTTTATACGGGGCCTCAGTCCAGGTCTTTCCTATCGAAATTTTGCATGAAGTGAGATGCATGTATTCACCACAATGTCACTGCATGCCTGCTATTTGCCAACACTGCTTTAGTTACTAGGAATACAGTGGTGAACGTTCCTGAGAAGTGAAAAGAGAACAGGGAAGAAAACAAATCATTTCAGTGAGAGATAGACATTGTAAAGAAATGCAAATAGGGCAGGGCTGTAGAAAGTCTTCGCGGGCATCTGTTTGGAGTATGGTCAGGGACTGCCTCTTTGAGGGGAGGATATATGACCAGAGACCTGAATAATAGGAGGAAGCAACCATGTGCGGGGCTACAGAAAGCATTCCAGGCAGAGGAAAGAGCCAGAAGAGAAACCCTGAGGTGTTCAAGGAGCAGACAGAAAGGCAGAAAGAGTGAGGCTAGAGAAGAGGAGCTCCTGAGGCAGGAGAGCTGAGAGAGCCAGCTCCCCTAGGGTCTTAAGAGGGCAGGGCAAGAAGACTCGATTTTACTCCTAGTATCATGGGAAACCACTGGAGGACATTAGGCAGGAAAGTGAGTTGTGATTTTAAAAGACTCCTCGAGCTAGTGTGTGGAGAAGGAGTGGAAATTTTAAGGCACGATGACCAGTTAAGACACTGTTGCGTTTGTCCAAGACTCGGGCTATGGGAGCAGCAGTGACACCTCTTAGAAGGTCTCTTAGCAAAGGGGAGGTAACAAATGTGTGATTGCATATATGATTTGGGGAGGCATAAATATGTGGGGTCATCCATGGATTTCTCGCTGAGTAACACTTAAACCCTTTGTCATGTAACCACTTCATTATCTGCGCACATGCCTATGCTGGAACATAGAAGATATGTATTAAAAGCAACTAAAATTTGGGGCGCCTGGGTGGCTCAGTTGGTTAAGTGCCTGACTTGATTTTTGGCTCAAGTCATGATCTCAGGGTCGTGGATCCAGCTCCAAGTTGGACTCTGGGCTGAGCGTGGAGCCTACTTAAGATTCTCTCTCCCTCTCCCAGTCCCTGCTCACACTCGCTCTCTCTCTCTCCAAAAAAAACAAAACAAAACTAAAACTCCTCTGCAAAGGAATTCTATCCACCTTATTGCTCAGGCTCATGCCTAGGAATCATGTTTGATTCCTTTTTTCATTTTATGTGCAGACCTCCATTCCTCTTTTACTCCACCAGTAAGCTTTGGTGGCTCTATATCCAAAATCAGTGTCAATTCTGACCATTGCTACCATCCCAGTCCAGACCATCATCATCCCTCATCCACCTCCTGTGTGGTCCCACAGCTTCTACTCTTATCCACGGACAGTACATTCTCCACATAGCAGCCACACCCATCCTCTTAAAACATAAGTCTGGTAATTATAACTCTTTGCCAATGCCTTCCAATGGTTTCCCATTGCAAATAAAATAAAATCCAACTCTTTACCAAAGGTTCCACTTGAACTGAGCCTGTCTACTTGGTTGGCTTCACCATTTCCCTGTTTTATGTTTTTTTAATATTATTCATCAGCACCTGGAATTACACCCTTTGTTTTAATTTTAACCTATTAAATATCTACTCCAACTAGAATACAAGCTTATATTTACCAGTGTATTCCAGTGGCTGGAACCATGTCCATCATGACTTATTGTTAGTATTTAGTTAGTATTTTTTTTTTTAAAGATTTTATTTATTTATTTGAGAGAGAGCACATGAGAGGGGGGAGGGTCAGAGGGAGAAGCAGACTCCCTGCTGAGCAGGGAGCCCGATGCGGGACTCGATCCCAGGACTCCAGGATCATGACCTGAGCCAAAGGCAGTCGCTTAACCAACTGAGCCACCCAGGCGCCCCTAGTTAGTATTTGATAGATGAATGAACAAGAGGGATAAAAAACTCTCTTAAGGATAGGACAATGAAGGAAATGTCACAATGGACAAAACCTTGAATTTTGAGCATATCATGAAATAAAGTATTAAATAAAGCAATTCAAGAAGGTTAAATTAAAACACAAAGGACAAATTAATTTTCTCTCTCAACTTCTTTCTTGTGTCTTTCTGTTCACCTTTCCCAATCTCTTCCTGCCAACGGGCCATATCCTAGTACCTTACACTGTCTAACACATGAAAGGCTCTCCCCAGCCCCTAAGGGGAAAAACTACAACAGAGTTGAGAACTTTTCCTTAGAAGTCCAAAGGAGGGGTGCTTGGGTAGTGTCTGAAACTCTTGGTTTCAGGTCAGGTCGTGATCTCAGGGTCGAGAGATCGAGCCTGACGTCAGGCTCCCTGTTCAGTGTGGAGTCTGCTTGAAATTCTCCCTCCCTACCCCTCTGCCCCTCCCGCTCATTCCCATTCTCTCTCTCTCTAAAATAAATAAGTAAAACTTAAAAAAAAAAAATCCAAAGGATACAGTGAATTTATCTTATTTTTTTTCAGTAGTAGCCTTGCCCACTGAGAAGCCACCCTAAGAATTTGTCCTTGCCCCACTGTAAGTGATCATCTGACCCTGTGATAGACCAATTAATTTCTTTTCTTTGAAGACCTGTCAAGTCAAAGAGGTCATAAGGACACAACAGATCAAGGAAGGAACTCTTATTGAGAAACTAGAGGTGAAAGAAATGAAACCATGATCTTAAACTGGTGAAAGTTTAAAAAAAAAAAAAACTTTAATCTGAATATTTAGAAAGATCACTGTATCGACTTAGACATTTTCTCCTTGTGTGAAACACTGCTCCCCAAGCCCCCTGCCAATGTCATTACCTCCCGGAAGCTGAAGGGTCATCCTGTAAAGACCTCTTCTCTCCTGAAAATGCCCCCAGGGTTCTGTTTGCCTCTATCACAGGCTTCATCCTATAAAAGTTATTGATATGCATGGTTTATTTCCCCATAAAAGGTATTTACTTTTCTAAATCTTGAGATTGTCTTATCTTTGGGTCCTGCTCCCTTCCTTTTTATAAAGGTTATCTCAGTGCCTTATACCGTCAAACACACTAACATACTTTGTGTGCATGAGTTTGCTTTCAGAAGTGGGGAATCATGTGCTTACAAGTTGGGGGCAATTAAAAGAAAGGCAATGTTTTCCACCAGAATGGTGTCATAAGGAATGTAGTCCTTGAAGGATGATCTTGAAAATGGATTCGACAAACAACCTCTGCCTTTCAGGCTGGAAGGAGGTCTATGGGTGCAGCTTTCTGATTCTGTAGCCTCGGGGGGAAAAACTGCCACACAAGCTGCCGTACTCTGTGTTAGTAATATCTTTTCTGTTTTTACAAAGTGACAAGCCAATGAAGTCAAAAGAAAGTCTCTCTAACCTGTCCAGTATCCTCAAGCTATGTTCCTACTCAGGTCCTGCTTCTGGTGACTGTTTGCAGTGTTTACCTGTAGGGTAGAAATGAGCGGAGCCAAAGGGCACTCTTTCAGCAACAGCTACAGCTCCTTGAGCCCTCATTTTTGCGGTGAAGCCAAGAGCTCTAGCTGAAAGAGCTACCGAAGATTCCAGGCTCAGCTGTGGCCCACTGTCCGAGCCCATGTTCAAAGATGTATCATAGGGTAGCATTGAAGCCTTCCTTCTGTCTCCCCTGCTGACAAGCAACCCCACTACACATTGTTTTGAGATCCATTATCCCTGTGTTTGATCAGCAAAATGCTCCTTGAAAAGGTATTGAGAGGGTAAAGTCTTTCGAAACATCAGAATAAGGAGACTCGTGAACTTTACGACTTCTTGTCCATAATCATGCCCTCTCTCCCAGGGTTCGAGTCAGGTTAGTGACCTCTGAAGGTTAGTTGCCTTTGAAGCAACTTCACCTTGACTCTAGGAGAGGGTGTATGTCACAGTCAAAAATGTTAGATTTCTCTTGAGGATTTATAGGGTCAGAGGTGTCTTGGTGCTGGATTGGCCCTAGACTGGGTTTCTGTCGTCTGTTCTTAGGATCTCTCCACCTCACCTGAATGAGACAAAGCATCTGATAGCGAGGGGACTAAAAT